GGGGGGAACAGGGTCAGCTGGGGGGAACAGGGGCAGCTGTAGGGACACCGGGGCAGCTGGGGGGGCACAGGAACAGCTGAGGGGGCACAGGGGCAGCTGGGGGGCACAGGAGAAGCTGGGGACACAGGGGCAGCTGGGGGACACAGGGGAAGCTGGGGGGCACAGGGGCAGCTGAGGGGGGAACAGGGGCAGCTCCAGCCCCTGGAGTCTCCCTGAGCTCAGTGGGCTGGGGTCGGGTCAGGAGGGCTGATGTCAGGCAGGGCTGTGGGGAGCTGGGCACTGCAGGGGCTGCCATGGGGGTCTGGACTGTGTGTGGGGTGCGGGAAGCAGAGGGGCTGATCAAAACCATTAAGACCTCAGAGTCCTGAAAAATAAAAATATAATCCAGGGAATGTGTATTTAGAGCAGAGTGGAAATATCTGAGAAGGAAATTGCAAGTAAAAAATTTGTGTCCATTGGCGGAAGCCTGAGGTATGGGGAAAAGGTTGGAAAGGAAGAAGGAAAGTAATGCAGCCAAAAGAAATTTTGTGAAGGGGACTTATCATCAAAAACTGGAAGAAACAAGGCGACTACTGCAAGCTTTTCCTGTGACAGCAACCACGGCATATAATAAATTGAGTGGAAGCTCTCTGATATGAGCAATCATAATTGCTCAATTATGGTGGAATCCCTATGATCAGGATCGCACATCAATATGAACTTTTATTAAAAAGGATAAACTCAACTATTTTGTTGAATCAGGATCTTAAACAACTTAAAATAATCTTGGATTTCAATTATGGGGTTGTCTTTGCTGCCACATTGCTGCACTGCTGCAATACTTTTTAAAATAATATTACTTGACTGTTAGACAGAACACTTCATCTACACTTCCAAAGCATTATCTAAAAGTGAATATATTATTCTCATTTTTAAGCTTGGAAAAACTGCTTCACGGAAAGTGGCTTGCACAGGGTCACAGAAAAAGTGGACAATGTCATTAAAGTTTGGACTTTTTGCCTGAGACTTTACCCAGTGAGTATCCAGATGCTGTATAATCTGGCAGCTGGCAAAAGAGCTCTGGGGATTAGGAATAGGATCTAGAACAAAACTTTTCCCTTTTTTGATTTCACTGTGACCTACCTAGGTAGTAATGGAAAGCTGCTACCACTGCAGAGTTTTTCAAAGGCTTCTGTGAAATGAGTTGCTGGTATCTATCCAATTCCTAATGAACAGATCCCCTTTGAACAAAATCACCTGCACTTACTGCTACCTTTATTGGCAACCTCCATAAAAAAAGCCAGGAATCAAACAGATATGAAAAAATGAACTGCTCCATCAGGTCAAGTACGATATGAACTTTTAGGCCAAATTAGGAAGATTTATGCTTTCTCTGCTGTGAGTTTGGCATTTTTATGAGCCCTAAATTGTATATGTGGGGTTTTTTTAAATTAAACATTTTTCTCAAACCTTCCCTTTATATTCATGTGGCAATAAAACTTTCAGATGCCTGAGAAAGACATCACTAAAAACTGTAAAATTCATCAGGTGAGGTGCACTGATTGGTAATTGCATAAGAAGGGCTGAGAAGTCATGGTAAACTGTGGTAAAACAGCAAGAAAGTGTTGGATTTATAAATATTTTTCAATTTTTAAGCTGAAGGCAACATTATAAAGCAATTTTTCCTTGTTTGTGATGGATTTTATTTCATGTTAATGCAGAATGCATAAGGTGGTACTTGAATGTATGCTACAATAATTCCACTTTAGGCCCCTGTGTCATTGTTTAAAATCTGTTTAAAATAGTTTATAAAAGTAATTTTAAGTAGTAGAAATACTTCTGTAAGTGCTGGGAGGTGAATGTGATCTCACTGAGGAAGCAGGATTTCCAGTCAGGGAAAATGAAATAAGACTGACAGAACTTGGATTTCATAGCAGCTACAATGCAGAATATGACTTTAAAAATTGGAGAAATGAGGGAAAAAAAACAACTCAGAAGATGGGAAGGAATTAACGGAACAGCTGATTGAAGCTGTCAGATTAATTACCTGGGTGTTTGCCAAGGCTACTCTCTGAGTCAGGGACGTTGGGATCTCTCTTCTGGGATTATAGAAAAGGAGATAAGTGTCCCACCCTGGATATATGGGCTTGACTCCTGGCACTTGCGGGCAGCTACAAAATTCTGTTTGGTGCCACAGTAAAGCAAGCACAACATTGATGAAAACAGAGAAAAATGGATCCATGCTGGGCAAGCTGTAAGCACTATTTATGGAGCAATGGGGAGTTACTGGCAGCTGCAGGGAGCATGGAGCAGAAGCCATGCCACTTAACTGAAATGAATGCTCACAGTGGACCATTGGATCAGCAGGGGTGAGATCAATAGTACTCCTACTTTTCCAAGTGGCTGCCTGCTTGAAACAGCAGTGAGCAGGAGTGCCATTACTCAAGTCTTTGGGTGCATCTTGTTACTTTCCTCTGAATGAAGAGATCTCCTTTGTAACCCTGGACTCAGTGCACAAACTAGCCAGACATTAGCTTCCCTCTGAGACAAGATCTGCCTAAAACGTGGTATTTTAATCTCTGTCTATTTTGCAAATGTAGGATTTGTGTCATCTAAGATTCAACATCTAAAACAATCTAGGATTTATTAGTCTGTGGAGTGGGAAAAGCACCTGCAGAGGAAAGATCATCTCAGAGGGTGACAAATAACTAAAAGCAAAATGAAAAGACTTCTTCTAGAATTCATGATCAATCTGGATGTTTTCAGAATTAACTGTTATTTGAGACCATTTTTATAGAGCCAATGGCCAGTTTAATGTGGACTCTGATACCACATCTGCTAAAATGTGCCCAAAAGGAAATAAGCACATGGAAGAGGTTTGGCTTGTTGGCCATGACAGTGGCTGTCAGTAGTTCCTTCAGATAAGCAGAAAGGAGTCATGTGAAGCAAGCCTCAAGCCTAAAACATGTGCACAACTTCAGCAAATTCAGAAAAACACTGTACCACAAGCCTACCTTTAAATTTGAGTCATGTTAACAGTCCTGTAAGTCAGTGGAACCATTGATCTGCTCAAACACAAGCCCATGCATATGTTTTACATGACCAGAGGATAATGGCCTGCCTGGAGATTGCCCCTTTCTACTAGGCTGGCAGGGTGGGATTTCCTCTCCCTGATCTTATCATAGAATGCACCACAATCATTGCAGATTATTTCAAACCCTAAAAAAAATACTCTAGGTCTACAAAACAGACATAGTTTCAAATGCTTGTGTGAGCAAGGCATTTCCCAATTTTCTTTTTAATTTCTGTACTGTGTTTAAGGATGTTGACACATTGACTCTCCACGATATGAGTTTACACACGCACACAGACACACACAGACACAGACACGTGCACACAAAGGTCTGCAGAATAGATTTTAAAGTTTCTATGTGCAATAAACAACAAAGTCCCAGTTGAAAGGGTCCAGAGTGAAAGCTGAGCTCCCAAATGAATTAGACTAAAAAAGATAACACCCTGAGGCATCTGTGTGTCTCAGCATTTAAATTATATCCCTTGAAATATGAGTTTGGACTTGGTGCCAAGAAATGGTTGAAGAGCTTTTTCATGAATATACCCAATAGAAGACCAATCTGTTGAAATGAAATGTGTCTCTAATCATTTGGTATAAACATAACATGTTTCTACTTTATTATGTAACCTTGAATCATCTTAGTCTTTTAATGAGGATTTTGGATTGTTGCTAATGCTTTACAATTTCATGGAATTATATTGTCCTGGTATTATGCTACATGGAGAATATGCACTAGAATTTAATTTTCCACTTAGTTAAATGGATAAAATAATTTCCAGGTTTCTTTAAAAAGAATTACTTCTTTTTTTTTTTTCCTCTAAGGCCTTGTCTCATTTGTACAGATATTCCATTCAAATGGTATAATGCTGAAAAAACTTTTTAGCAGATTTCACTTTCTGAGTCATTTGACAATTCTTTTGTTCTTTTCTTTCTTGAATTATAGGCTGTATGTTCTTTTTCCTTTTTAGGATTAGTGATTACATGGATCTGACCCCTGTAGATATTGTAGGAAAGAGATGTTACCACTTCATTCATGCTGAAGATGTGGAAGGCATTAGACATAGTCACTTAGACTGTAAGTACTTCCATTTTTGTCAAAATAATCTGGTACGACAGCTGATTGCTCCTAAACTACTATTTATATTCCACAACTGAGATCTTCATCTTGCACCTGCTTTTTTTTTTTTTGTCAGAGGTTTTCAGAGGATGGCTTAAATGTCATTCTTTGTGTGATTTATTTCCAAGTCTTTTTCTAGACCTATAAGATAATTTAAATATGTGGAAATAAAGCATTATATTTGTATTACTTGAATTTCCAGCAGCTGTTAATTTACACATTCTATGCATTATTTTAATCCTTAAAGTATTGCTCACATGAGAAACTCCCTCCCTGGCACAGAATGGGAACTCCTCTTTGAGGATTTTGCATTTTTCTGAGTCATAACATGGAGGACAAAAACTGCAGCATAACTGGGATTTCACCAGGTTTTTCATACAGAACTGAGCTACAGCTCTACTAGTGCTTTAACCAGCCCATCTGTTAATATCTAAATGGTCCCCATCCTTACAGCATCTCAGTCCCTGTTATATGCACACTGGTAGTATCTGATTGGGATAAAAGAAGTACAAAACTGTTGCAAGAGACAAACCTTACCAGAAAACATATGCAACGTCTGTGTATGGGGGAAGGGAGGATCAGCCTGATTCCTTGTAATTAAACTCTTTGTATTCCTCTTATTAAAAGCCATAGGGCCTAATTCTTTTCTTGTTGAGATCTGTTGACTTCAGTGATGGGGCTCCTGATTTACCCTTGTGCGAGAAAAGACTTATGCCCATAATCTCTAATTTATCTGTGCCTGCAGTGAAGCCAGATAATTCTTTGGAAGTTTCAGTGACTGACTGCGTTTATGATTGACTTTGGTGTTTTTCTTAATGCAGAAGATGATCTGTGAACTGCTTCTTAAATTCAGAGACACAAATCTGAATAACTCTGCTCCCCCTGCATCATGTCCTACTAGCATTTCCTAATGAAAGGGCAGCAGCCCAAACGCAGCCACATTTAATTAGATTTTACAAAACCATATGACTACACTAGAAGGCAGAAAAAAATGTTCCATCCTAAATTACCTTGCTTGATCTGCATGGGAAGATAGGAGGATAACTCTGATCGGAAAGCAGGAGAATAGGGACAGCTTCTATGACAACATAAGGCAGCCATCAGCAGTATTAGGCTGTGTAAAGATTTCAGAAGTTTCTAGAATGTAAAGTGTATTTGTCATAAGATCAGGTTAGATATATTTCTGAAGAAAAAAAATAAAGTCAACTATCCAAAGGTATAAACAAAGTAATTTTGTATCATTTGAATTTTAAGCATTTAATTCCAGGAGAATATATCAGTTGCTGAGAAATGAAGGAGAAAATTCAGATTCTTGCTCTCAAAACTGGAAGTCAAAAATGACAAGTTACACTTTCACTGCACTATCTGACCAAGGAAATAAAAGATATTTATGACTCAGATTTACCATACCACCTGGCATAGATGAACATCCCATTTGAAAAAGACCTTAATCTTCTGAATGACCACTTCTCTCTGAAATAGGATATGTTTTATGAAACATTTATCTTCAGAAAAATTCAAGATCTATGCAGAGAGTATGAGTGCAGTATGGTCCAGTATATAAGCACTGGACTAAGACTCAGGAGACCCTGAAGAAAGGAATGATTTCTAGAAAATCACTTCAACTTACTGTATTCCTGCTCTCACTGTAAGTCCAGTTTAGCTGGTTGGATTCAAACTTTACAAACACAGGGATTTCTCGCACTATCAACATCCAGCATAGCAGGGTTCACAAACCTGGCTGTGTGGCTATAGCATAATTATTCTTGCCAGGCTAGTTGTTTGTTTTTTTTTTCAATAGATGGGGCTGGTTACATCTTTTATTTGTATTTGTTTTCTTGCCTTATAGGAACAAGATGGTCATAGAATCATTTAGGTTGGAAGGAACGCTGGGATATCATCTAGTTTCCACCTAATGCTCAAAACAAGATCAATACTAATTCAAAGTAAAATTTTTAGCACTTTGTCTAGTTGATGTTTTAAAACTTCAGATTCTCCAGAGCTTCTCTGAGTGACTTGTTCCAATTACCTTAATAAGTGTCAGTTATCCTCACAATGGTTGTGGGTGTTTTTTACCTCCTATCTGGTTGGAATTTCCCTGTGTGCTGGTGCAGCTCATGGCTCCATCTTTGCAGTATCCTGCTTGAAGATATGCTGCTAGGTTCTCCTGAAGTCACCTTGTCTTCAGGCTAAACAAGCTTGGTTCCACAGCCTTTCCTCACAGAACAAGTACACCAGCCCCTGGGTGTCTGACAGACCTCTTCTGAGATCACTGAAGTTTATCAATATGTTTCCCGAGGTAGGAGCCTAAAATTAGATTCCAGATACAATTTAAAGAGTGATGAGTGAAAGGGCATAATGACTTTCTGTGCTCTGCTGGCTGTACATTTTTATTACAGCCCTGCTGATTCATGCTTAGTGTAGTGTCCAGCACAGGTCCCTTTTCACAAAGCTTCAACCCAGGCAGTCAGTCCCAAGCCTGTAACATATCTGTCCATTCCACATACAGGACTTTGCATTTGTCATTCCATGTTCAAACTCATGCTCTCTGTGAAAGATCTTCAAGTTTAAATTAGTCTTGGTAGTAACAGGGGAAGAACATCTGCCAGCTATTAGTTCTGCAGAAGCCAAAGTGGTTCATATCTTTGCCCAGAGAGATGTTCAACTTCTAGCATTTGACAAAAATTGTATATAAACCGAGAGAAAAAAATTGGAGAACCCCAAAATACTTCACAGCAACTTGTCAATCCTATGAAATCAAATTCAAACCAAACTAAAAAGAGAAAATCTTCCTGGTTTAGTAAAACTAGAATTAAAATTCATGAACTGGCAAACACTGTCTGTGGAAAATGGAACCCAGCAGAACTCGTCCCCCAAAATAGAGAGCACAGGACATTTGCCAGTAAATCATAGGAAAAAACTGCTTGAGAGCACAATGAAAAACAAACAAAAACCAAACAAACCAAAGGCAGATTTATGAAGTATTTTGAAGAGGACCTGGAAGCTAAAGTAATGGATGGAAAGCACTAGTGAGAAAACAAAGCAGGACCTGAGAAAGTAGCAAATTGAAAAGGTTGTGTTTGATGGAGAATGCAATCAAAAATCTTGGTTTATTTTTAAAGGAGATAAAATAATTTTTAATTATTAAAACAAGAAGAAATCCAAATTGCAGTTGTAGATTTTAGCAAGTAAAACTGCTAATCTGCCTATTTCCTGGTAACATATAAGGAAAAGGTAAGACCACTACATCCTTCTTTCTCATCCAAGATATTCAAAGACATCAAAGAGAAAAACAAGCAAAGAAGAAAACGTTGCACAAAATTACACAGAAAAAAAAAAATCAAGAGGGCTGTTGATGGCTTCAGATCATGGCAGCCAATTAGAAACTTAGAAAAGCAGGCCTTGTTAGCTCTGTCTCAGATAAAAAGAAGACAAAAGCAGTCTCAGGAATGTGACCATAACGAATATAATTGTGAAGAAGGTCTGCAAGACTATAGTAATGACAACAGGCTTTTATAAAGGAACTACTGCCCTAATGAAAGGTCAGTTTTGGTCAGCAGAAAAGCTTTCATTGGCTTTAATGGACATGGGGGTCATGCCCAAAAAAAACTATTTTTTGTGGACTTAAATTCTGAGCGCAGTGAAGTAAATTGCAAAAATTCCATTAGGTTCAAAATTTCTATTAAGAGATGTATGTTAGTTATGCCTTTATGCCCTTGTGAATTAATAAAACAACATTCATACTCTGTGCATATGCCTGCATTTATAGCAACTCCATAATACATGGCATGATAACATAAGCTATTGAAACATCATTTTTTTCCAAACAAAAATAAAAGTTTATGCTAGTTGTTTCTATTGTGTTTCATTCAAATTTTGAATGATCATGCTTTTTCACAAATCTCTCAGCCAATTTTTTGGTGTTACAATTCTACCTTATTAAGCTTTTTTCTGTTTTAAAATGCTTCATTTTTTCAGGAGTTTGGGAATCTTCTCATTTGTTCATCTTCATCATGTTGCTGGTAGAATCATGACAGATATCACTTACCATACAATCAAGTCTCTCTCACAGAGATCATAGTTAAAATGTTCTAACAGCCTGTACACATCCAGCATCATGGCCCAGCTGTTGGTTCAGCCAATCCACAGAAACTGGCTAAGTTGCAACAACTCTTGTTTCAACCAAACCCTCAAAAATTACAGGTCTGGCTGTACCCTGGCACAGAGAGTCTCTAATCCTAGTTCTGTAACAGAGCTTTTCATTAGGTTACATGGCATGAAAGAGCTGTAATTGAACGTTTTGTTTCACAGTTGTGCATCTAGAACTAACACCCTAGAAAGACCCCTCATGACCCAGTTCTGCTTTACTTGTAAGGATGGGGAAGGTGATAGGATCCTCTCTATTTACTTACCACTGCATAAAAGCATTACAGGACTGAGCTGTGTGTCAACCACAGGGCAGATTGTGCACTTTCACCAAGCCATGAGTCCCTGAATGAGTAGAACTGCCCTTGCTCTTACAACATCAGTGACAAAGATCTTAAAGCTAGCAGGATATATATTTGATGTCAAATCAACACCAGAAATCAAAAAGATCAATAAAATTACTGTTGTATCAGGTCTTTGCACTCTCTGTAGAATGCAGCAAGGGCAATTGCAGCTGTGGGGAGTATGATGCTGTGCATATGTACTTCCCTTTTTTTTGACACTGCTATCATTCAGCAGTCTGTAACAGCCCTTTTTTAAGAAGTTCATTTCATGCTAAGAATGAGTGGATGTCATATGCTGTAGGAGTATGCATCTTCTATTTAATTGTAAAAAATTAATGATCTTCATTGAACATCAAGTATTTGATGTTACTGTTCAATGAAGTCATTAAGAAAGCAGCAAGGAAGAATAAAAGTCAAGACCTTTGAAGGCAACCATGAATATACTTTTGGGCAAATATATGATAACAT